CATGCCACACTCAAATTGTAAGTGACGAGGACTTTATTTTTATCAATAATTTTTGGAATGAATTTTTCAAACTCTTAGGTACCCAGCTAAAGATGAGCCCGTCCTATCATCTGCAAACAGACGAGTAATCTGAAGTAGTTAACCGGTGTGTCGGACAGTATCTCCGATGCCTAGCCCACCAAAGACCCAACAAGTGGCATTCCCTACTACCATGGATAGAATTTTGGTACAACACTACATATCACTCCTCCATTGGCATGACACCCTTCCAGGCTCTTTACGAACGACCCCCCCCCCCCCCCCCCCTTCCATTCCTCACTATACCATCGGGGCGACCACCGTCCATGAAGTTGATCAAAGCCTTTCCGCCCGAGATGAGCTCTTATCACAACTTAAGGCTAATTTACACGCTGCCAATCAGCGCATGCAACAATCAGCCAACTCGTGGCGCCGCCATCTTAAGCTCCAAGAAGGCAACTGGGGCTTTCTGCATCTCCAACCCTATTGCCAACACAGTCTTCCAGCGCGCCCTGCAAAAATTAGCTTGTCGATACTTCGGGCCTTACCAAGTTGAACAAAAAATCAGCTCAGTTGCTTACAAACTACAGCTCCTGGAGGGCTACCGCATCCACCCTGTCTTCCACATCTCACTGCTGAAAAAACAAGTGGGAGACTCACTTCTGCCCACGAGAGACCTTCCGGCCACCACTGAAGATGGCACCATTCTGCTCCAACCCGCAGCAATCCTGTATCACTGTTGGGTCAGAAAAGGGTCAAAGTTCATTGAAGAAAGCTTGGTTAAATGGCAGCTCATGACCACCGACGATGCCACTTGGGAAAGCTCACAGGATCTGCAAACCCGATTTCCAGACTTGAACCTTGAGGACAAGGTTCCTTTGAAGGAGGGGAGTGATGATAGGATCCCCGAAAGTCTCAAAGGATTCCTATCCCCAATCCACGATATGCAGATTGAGGGAATCATGCGCAGCAGAAGAAACGGTCTCCCCGGAGGCGTAACAGAAACAGGGCACCGAAGAACCAGCTTCAGCAACCGTCCGCGATCTGTTCCACCTCCTCCACTTGCTGTGTTTATCTTTTCATGTAATCTTCACTTTTTCCTTTCTGTAGAAGTAGGAAATTTCTGTTAAAACTTTGTGTATTTAAGGAACCACGTTCATGAACAAAAACAGATCATTATCAGCAATTAAAATTCTAGGTTAAGTTTCCCACTTTGAGCAGAAACAGCAAGCTAGAAAGTGTACACTCTAATGGGGACCTATCACAATCAGACTAAGAGTATACTCAAGAAGATCAGAACACATGGTGTAGGTCGAGGGAAACATTGGGATGTGTGGCACCTTCTGAGCCAAAGGATCCTACACACGTTTGTGTCGATTAAAGGAGATATCCTGGCCGTCCATTCTTCAGACTGAGAAACTTTGAGAGCAATCATCGAGGGTATTTAAGGCGAATAATGTGTTAGGGTTAGGAATCAGCCGATTCGTCCTGCCGACTAGGGTATTTAAGTTTTCTGAATCTGGCTCTTGGGTTTCTGGCGACCTGGACAGATTCATGGCATTTTCAGTATTTTTTCTTGTATATAATCTCACATTTCCGACAATCTAAACATGGTATGAAGTATTTTGAATATATTCTCAACTTTCTCTCTCAAAAATCTCTCTCCCATTTTTGGTTCTGTTTCTATCTCCCTCTATATCTTTATTCTCATCTATCCTCTCTCTGTTTTCCGGCTTAAAGTGAGGTACATGTCACCGCCAGCTCCTAACATATTTCTAGTAGAAGTTTGAAAATTTTCTCAAAAGATACGAGGAGGACAAGTCAAATGAACTTCTTAAGTGGGAGTAAGACGGGCCAACTTTTGCTGCTGGACAACAAGTGTTGGTGGCTTAGTCTTGAAACAGTATTTTGGGAACAATTAGGAGATTGGTTTGAAGGCAAGGGAGGCTGTCATCAACTTAACCTGCCTAGTTTTAGGCACCAGGAGGATGATTGTGCAATGTATAAAGCAAAACAATAAGAAATAGTTGCAAAAGTTAGAATAACAAAAGGATGTGCCTGGCAGCAAGAATCTGGATGGGGATGCTTGTCCTGTGGTAGCCAAAAATAAACAAGAACAGTTTAGCGAGTACTTAAACTGTGATGAACATCACAGCAATATGGGTTCATATTGAGTGACTCTTCCAGCTCCAACAGTTATTGCTTGCGCTTACCAAAACTTCGTACACGTACAGATAATTAATTTCTGTAAGAGCCTAATGTAGGAGAGGAAATTGACACTAACAAGGGGGTTGCTAACACGAATTATCTTGGTTACGGGGAAGGAGATATACATTATGGTGGGATAAAGTATCTTGCTTGTCCAGCCTAGATCAAAATCATTTTCCATAAACTCATCTTTTTTGCTCGAGGAGAAGTGCATTTTTAAGGGAGGGACTGATGTTATAGGCCAACAAGAGCAGGCAAAACAAGTGGGTCAGTAAGATCTCATGATCCAAATAATTCCATCTAGTGGCAAAGTGTAGAGAGTATAAAATCCTGTATTTATTCTATAGTTTTTTTCTATTAACATGTAATTTTATTTTGATGCTATGTTGTTAGTAGCATATATTTGGTCTCTTTCTGTAAGATCTCTTTGAGTTGATGATATCATTGTTCTGCTCTAAACGAACCCATTAATTGATTACATAACAAAATCCTAAGAACCACTGAATATATATATATATATATGTATCACAAATGATGGATAATTGTCTTGGTTAATTGTTTCAATTATTAGACTAATAAACTAGTTTGAAGTTTTCAAAGGTAGGAATTCACTGACCAACAATTCACAAACTTACATCATAATATTTAAATATGCATTTTATTATAAATTAAACATATTTATCCAGGGTCAAGTATTTTTTCAGTTGATCTAAGATTACAATGTCATTATGTATATATCCAGTCATTACATTGCATACATATATATATATATGCACACATGTATACAGCAAGTTTAAAACATGATGTCTCTATCACAATTATACTTGATTCACAATACTCAAAAGCTGTCTTATTTATAAACAAAAATTCTTATCAGACGTCTTAAATCTAGATCAATGCTAATTAACATGGTCAATTAGTTGAACAAAACTTACGAAGATGATAAAGCTTCGACCCCGGCAAGAATTAATAGACGTTTGTGTACTCACATCGTTTTATTCCATTAACTTATTCACCAAATCTTAAATTATGGTTTTATTTCAAATTATTAATGAAATCAAATCTAATAAGAAGGTCAAGTTCTTATTCTTCTGCAGCATGACTAATTATATTTTTGGATTTGAAAATTTAATATCTCATATATAATTTTTCCCCATATTATTTCAAGCCCATTAATTAAATCTCAAACTATTTTCATGACCAAAGCCCATTTTTTGCACTCGTTATGTAAACCAAACCCATTCAAGTACGGTCCAGTCAGCCCTTACATGCCCGACATAGACCCTCCCAACCGTTTCGCCGGGGAGACCATCATCTTCTCTTCTCTGCCTTGTAACAAAAAGAAGAGAGAGAGACGCGTAGAAACATTTAGAGGCAGAGGAAGAGAGAGCACGCGAGGGAGAGAACAGAACAAAAGCAGATGCCTTGGCTTCCGGAAGCAGACAGCGGAAAAAAGAGTGAGGAAAACAGAGAAGAAGAGAAGGCTTCGGTTTGGGTGAGGGTTCTGGGCTTTGGTGACAGGGGGGCTACTTCTTCTCTCTGATTCTCTGTTGGTTCTAAGAATAGAGCTTCGATAGTGAACGGGTTCAAAGGGGTAAATTCTGTTTCTTGTCACTTTTACTCATAATCTGTATTTGCCATTATGGATGAATTTGAAGTCAAGTTATATGGAAATTGAGTAACGAATTGGATGTCTTGAAGTTTTCTTTGGATAAACATGAACGAAGTTAAAATGTATTATTTTTTGCAATTTGGGTTTTTATCTTATTTTTTTGCTGCTTAGTGGGGCGCAATTGTTTAATTTTTGTCCTGTTGCACAGTAATTGCTTGATAAAATGCCTAAATGAATTGTGCATAGCAAGTTTCAGTACGGAGCTCTTTTATAAATGGGACTTGGTGACCGTGTATCTCTTCTTTTTATTCCCAGTCCATGAAGTGTATCCTCGGATGATCTTTTCCATTTGTATTGAAATGAATGTTTGCGTCACCCGAATCCCTTTTTAAATGCATGAATGGTTAACGTTGCTGAATGTGTGGTTGTGTTTACATTGGGCAAACACTGAAAGTACTAAATGGTTACAGAAAGTAATAGCAGAATCATGAGGAAATCCTTCAGTTGTGTAGATGGAAAATGGGCAGATTGTCTGCAATATTAGTAAACTGCATTTGTTTCTGATTCATAAGTTTTTGTTATGTGGAGATAATTTTTAGGGATATTAGCTGTCAGATAATGCGAAATTGAGATTTTATTTGGATTAATTGACATTTTGGATTAGCTTGACCTCAATAACTAATATCTAATAATGTCACTCATCTCGAAGTTTATCATATGTAGTATTTTTCTTACAATTGGAACTTTTTTACTTCTTGAGTTCTGATGGGAGGAAACAAGTCTATCAGCATGACATCATGAGAAATGATCATCAAAGAAGCTGTCAGTCCGCTTGGATTTTTTTATATCTCAATGCTTATTTAGTTGTATTTAATTTTCAGTTTAGTTTGTAAATGAAGCCCAACTACCTTCACACACTTCACATAGATTAGAATACCAAATAATAGTTGTAAATCGGCCTTAATTAATTAGCATATTCTGCAAAGTAGGTGTTTACCACCTTTCCATCTTAGTAACATTTTGATCTGAGTTTCTGAATTCTGAGGCTAGTAGTATTTCAGCATCTGATCTCGCTTTCAATAAGATTAATAGCAACTCTCATTTTGATTTTGAAAATGAAAATAAATTTGAAAAACAAAAAAGGAAAAAATAAGAAATAAAATTATGACTTAATCTTTGGGGTGGTTGCAAAACGGACATTGGATTAATCATGCTTGGGATCTTTGGGAGGTCCAAAGAATAGGTAAGAGGTTGTTAGTTGCTGCTCTAAATGATTTTTTCCATCCAATCTTGTTATCAATTTTTGTATGGAAGGGTTTGAAGGCAAGGTACCAGGTCATTAGATTAAAAGGTTTGGTCCTAACAAACACAGTATACCCCTCGAAGATCCTGGCTTTCAACCAATTTAAAAACAATACAACCTTCAACCCACTAAGTGGCAAAAGAAACAGGTAAGCTTTAGAGTTTCTAAACAACAATTTGAACTAGATGGTTATCTGGGATAAGATGTTATTTCTTGCTCCTGATTGAGCAAGGCCCATAGATTCTTTAGGGGTTTTGATGGATTAAAATGTTATTTTCTCTGAATGCTTCTCTTTACTTACTTGTTTTTATACTTTTTTTTGGGTTGGATATGCTTATCCATGCATTTGATGTTAATTCCTCTTGTTTTTTTTTTTTTCTCTATGAAAAGATTTAGAATTTCTTGAAATAAAGTTAGGTGCTGGGATACCCAGATTGAATGTGGATTTCTAAATAAAAAGTATGACTTTAAACTTGATTTTTAGAAGAACATTACTGATGGGGTTTCTATTTATTTTCACAGTTTGGAATGGAGAATAAAGATGATGAAGTAAGGCAGGCACAAGTGGTTGAAGCTCGGGCAAGAAACATAAGCCATAATGTTCGTTGCACGGAGTGTGGGAGTCAGTCAATTGAAGACTCACAAGCTGATATTGCCATCCTTCTTAGGAAGGTGCTTTCTTTTACTCACAAATGATAATGCTGTTAGGAGGAGAGATCAAATTAGGTATATTCTTCTTAGTTGCTTGTTGGTCATTAAACTTTATGAGCAGCTTCGGTTTGCCAACAAAAAAAGAGACATGGTATTTCAAAGTGTTACCTGCTTAGATGCTGCAATTTGGGTGATTATCAAACCTAACCAAAGGTTTGAAACATGAATTCAAGCAGAGTAGGTGCTGGTATAAATTAGTCATTTTTCCCCGTAAGAAATTTCTAGTTAGCTGGCTTGTTTCTCTCTATTGATTTTTCTATCCTACTACATATTATCCATTTATCACAATTCTTATGAAGTTCAGGACATTGTTTGGAACAAGTTATATATTTCTATGAAATTTATTTGAAAATTTAGACTCAATTCAGTTAGCCGAGAATGCAAATTTTATTAGAAGATGATAAAAATTGACATCCTGTTGAATTGAGACCATAAAATTACATACATGTATTTTGTAGAATTTGGAATATATTGTTAATATTCCACTTAGATTTTCTATGAGATAATGTTCGCCTTTGTGAATATAATTTTTACTGTCTTGTAGTTAACTAGTTAAATATGGATTTCTAAAAAAACTCTAGGAATGAACTTTCCATATTTTTGTTGCTATCGTGCAGCTAATCCGTGATGAAATTTGGGCTGGAAAGACTGACAAAGAGATATACAAAAAGCTTGAGGATGATTTTGGGGAGACAGTGCTTTATGCCCCAAAATTTGATATGCAGACTGCAGCTTTATGGCTATCACCAGTGAGTTTATAATCACAATATAACTCCCACAAGGTATTACTGTTTAGTAATATTTCTTAAAATCTAATTCACGCCAAAGTATTGTGTTTGCAAACAGCTTCTAGTTGCAGCAGGAGGTGCGGGAATATGGGCTTACCAAAAGCACAGACAAAAGACCAATGTACATATCATGGCTTTGAACCTTGTTAGAGGTGTTCCGCTGACTCCCAAAGAGAAGCAAACTATGTTAGACATCCTCACACCTCCTCCTTCACAAGGACTTACTCCTTCCTTTTGGTGGAGTTGGCGACACCGTTGAGGTTGGTCCTTTCTTCCTACCATTACCCCTTCTTCCTTAGGTTTTGCTGTTGCATTGTCATTGGTAGATGCAGGACTATTTCTCTAGTATGTTATGATAATATTAACTATCCAATTGAACTTAAATCGATTAAATAATAACATTTGTATTTGCAAAACTTTACTCGTGTATTAAAAATTTTACCAATACTTAATAGTGTTTAACAAGCTTCTCATAGCCTCGATCTCGGAACTTATTCATATATTTTATTATTTTACATATTTTTTAAATAATAATTATATGTACACGGATAGGATATGATAAATATGTAGTAATATATGAGTCTAAATTAGGCCCTCAAGGCCAGCTCTTCTCTGCCTTTGTAACATTTCCTGCTATCTAAATATATATATATATATATATATTATTACATTGTGCTCAAAAAAATATCTGAGAATTCATCCCTTTGTTAAAAATGGCTCTGATAATCACGATTTATGAAATACTAATCTCCAGTAATTTATTCAAAGATGAATCATAAGCTTATCATAATAATTCTGAAAAAAATATATATATAATATGATAATTCCGATTATTGCGTTAAGTCTAATCTAACAGTATATATATATTCTTTAAATTCATCCGAATAATCCGTTAAATCTCCGCTTCTTTCTTTAATTATTTTCCTATAGAACGTTATTAACAATTGTTCAGATATAACAGTGGATTGGTCAGCATAATGGAATATTTAAAGTCTTCAAAGCAAATAAAAAATTATCTGTAACCCGAACACCCCTGAATGTTGATGTTGATTGGATTCTTTCAGCATCATAAGTTATACACACTGCTTCAAGGTTTCAGAGTATTGAGAATTTCATTGAGTTAGGCCGGAAACCATTGAGTCAATTTACTGCTGTCATCACAGAGAGGGAAAAAAAAAAAGGGGGGCTTTTGCAAAAAGGATATACCCCAGTTTCTGGTCTAAAACCTGGTGGCCGCATACATCATATCCGGCTATAAAGGCCGAGCTAATAGCAAAACAAATTAAAGTACTGCACGAGCAGCCTTTTTATACATCAACGTTGTATATTATACAACTAGGCTGCAAGTGTATACTATACAACTGCCGCTTCGTGAAGAAAAGAATTCGATGTGTCTAGACCTCCTCACCACGTGTCACCTTACATGTTACTCACCCCTGTCACCCGTCTTTTCCCATTAACTGCGCCACTTTAATATCCATCATCTCGTGTCATATGTCATACGTATATACATATATACAAATATCTCCTTCAACCACTTATGTCATTGCAACATATATATATGCATATATTGTTCTACAATACAACAAAGGGGAAGAAGCAGCAGCAGCAGCAGCCATGGAGAAATTACTAAAAAAACGCATGAGAAGCACCCATTCAAGACAAGGGATTCCACAAGATTGTGTCCTAAACACGGCCGAAGCTCGGAGGGAGATTGTCCATGCGCTGCAACTCCATAAATCATCATCTTCAAAACCGACATCATCAAAGTCATCTTCCATTACGGAGAGTAAGACGAGTATGTTGACTAAAACCAGCTGCAACTCTGGAAATAACAACAGTACATGTTTAGGTAGTTCACAGTACTATTGCTATTCGTTGATAGAGGCTATGCCTTTTCCAGAACCTATCTGGTCCACAACTGCAACTTCAGTGCCTGTTGCAGCACCAGCCGTTGAAGCTTTACACCTTAACAACTGGGGAGAAAGCCAAGCCTCTTCTTATACTTGGTGGTCAAGGTTTCTGAAATCAATGGATAAGGACGATGAATCAAGGTACCCATGTGCAGAAAATACGTCTGTGTTGCCAGATTCTTGGGTGGTTTCTCACAAGGATTGTTCAAAACTTGGAGAGTCAACTGATTATCAAGGCTCATTTGCAGATGACTGGTTGATTTTTCCCACCATCGAAGATCATGAAACTCAAATAACAAACCCTTGAGCCAGCAACTCAGTAATGGTTTGCGTTGGTCGTGCTTGATTTTCCTTGTTTTGACCTCGGGGTCTGTTTTTTGTTTTTTGTTTTTTGTTTCTTGGGCTTGTTCTTACAGATTCATTGGACTCTGTCTCATACTCCGAGGTCTTATAAGGGTTAAGCGTAATGCTCCAAGCCCATTGTCTAACAATCCTCTCTGTATCTAATGAAAATGGCCCATTTCAGGACTGTTAAAAACCGTCTTGAGTATATATGTTTATACACGCATATACGTATACATCCAGTTAAATACGTACAGATTAAGTGGCAATTACTAGCTTCACTATTCTTAACACAGCTTCCATAAGGTTCCAAATCCGCTATGGCAATTACTAATAAAATAAACAATTAGTTAAATAGTTGTAATTAGTTAACTAATAATTTGTAATTAGTTTAATTAACTTTCATGTATGCACTCTCTTTCCTCATTAACGAAAATGACTTTTGTCATCTTTTTTTTTTTTTACTTCCCCGATGACTCTTTTTTGTGATATATTGCATTGGCAATGGCTATATAAGTAGTATACTTGACTTAACAACACCAAATGATTCGTGCAACCCTTTCAAAAACCTAATGACTTTATCTTCTTGATTTTTTTTAATAACGAAAACAACATTAGGTTGACTGACATCGTAGGTAACATGTGATCACAGATATAGGTTTCAAGTTGGTCAATTCATCCCATAAAATTTTTAATTGTGTAAAATACTCTTGTGGTAGAATGTCTACTTTATTCTAAGGAATGAATTTCTTCTTGTGAATCAGAAATAGATCATGCAAATTTTTTTTGTAAATTATTTACATAATCAATTCATATTACGTTACGAGTTATTGAAACGATGATATAAATTTTATAATTTAAAAAAATACAAAAGTATTATATTGTTTTCAAGTTATATATGTTGAATTATATTTTCTCATAATTTGAATAGAGTGGAATGCCAATTTCAGCTTATTTTTTGAAATTAAAACTATTTTTATTATTTCGTATTATAAATAAATAAAAATTATTATTAGTAAATAATGATAGAAGAGGTTCGCAAAATTTTCTTTTTTTTTTTTTTTTTTGTTGACAAATCAACAAAAATCAATATTACAAACACTTGGGAGGACAAAAACAAACAAAACTAGATGAATCTAAAAACTATGGATTCTTTAACCCTTCTTTTTTCAGTTGCCAAGGAAAACATTAACTTTGACAGTTATTTTTATTAATGAGGAAAGAGAGTATCTACACATGACAATTAATTAAACTAATTACAAATGATTAGTTAACTAATTGCAACTAATTAAACTAATTTTAATAACTGTTTAACTTATTTATTTTATTTTATTAATTACCATAGGACAAAAAAAAAAAAAAGAAGATTTTCAACAAGAATTTCAATTTAATGAAAAGAAATAAATTTGAAATTAAAGAATGTATTTGTTGTCTTTTATTTTGTTACATATATATATATATATATTTATTTATATTTTAATCACATTTAATTTAACATTATTTGATTAATAGATAAGACTGTCATTATTTGTCCAAGTCCTACCTTTTTGATGTATTATTGTACATGTATCTCTAGACTCAACACCAACCATAAGTAACACGTGAAGGGCCAAGCCCAGCCTCATCCGCATGCACAGAGTGTACGTGTGGCAATATTTTCGCAGCTTTCTCTGACCATCAACTTCACACACACACACACACACACACACACACAAATATATATATATATATAGATGTATATGTATATATTAATCAATTAATTAATGATTGCCACACATGACCTAACAGCAACAGTAACAGAGATGTTATGAGTTACAACTTTGAGGTGCTGATGACTACCAGCTAGCTGTTTGCACGAAAAGAGATTCCTCCAACCTCAATCAATAACTTTGGTTATAGAAAGAGACTCGCCTTAACTCCTCCACATAATTATATATAATTATATACATGTATATGTCTGCCAAGGCATGAATGAATATTCATCTTCGGTTTTGCACGTAAGTATTAGCGTCTAATTAGAAGGCTACCTCATGCATCTTCCAGGTGCATCAAATTCAAAAACATTGTCATCAATAAATAGTTTATTGTGATTAATTTATATGTATATAAAGGTTTTGTCGCTGGAATTGAATCATCATCAACTGTTAAACAAGAGAGTAGATCAGATAATCAGAGAAAAAGAAAGAGATAGGATCAAGAACTAAGGGCAATGATTAGGTGCAGAGGGTGATATATATATATATATATATAAATATATGAAAAGGATTGATGACAAGATATAACATAGATGAGAAGATCAAGAAGATGCTCAGCAATCTGCATTAATGCAGACATATGGGATTTTTGAAGGATTTGATCCGTGGATTGTGGGACTGAAAAATCCAAATTACAAATTAAATGATGGGGTCGACGACAGTACATATACATAGTTATGCATACATGTATTATATATATATATATATGTATAATATATAGCTGCCAGTTCCCAACTAAGAAAGGGATTGAGTTCGTTGTACATGACTCCATTATTTTGGTAGTTTAGGAGAATGTCCAAGGCCATGTACACGAGGGATTTTAATTGGTTGGATCCAACTGGCCACAACTCTTAAATGCTTACGCATACCATATTTTATTGGTGTGGCTGAGGAAGGAATAATTTATTGCATATATATATATATATATATGTATGCATGCATATTATGTATCTATATATAATATGTAAAAAACATATATGGTGCAATTCATGGAAGTAATTTAATTAAACACATACTAGGTGATTAAAAAAATTTCCAACACCTCTAAGATTGTAATTGTACAGAGAACAAACATGCTGCCTAAGAAATATTGACTTCGAATTTAAATTTTTATTAGTGAGTATTTTTTCTTAAAAATTATTGGAATTCTTACGTCAAAATTATTGATTTTTATGTTTTTTTATAATAATTTTTTTCGAAGTTTATTTCATTAATCTTCTTTTGGGTTTTCTTTGTTCTTCCATTTTTTCGTTCATTTTAATTTTTTTAATTTTTTTAATTAATATTATTATTATATAAGAAAGGAAGACAATAAATTTTATTTTTCATCCACATATGAGATAACTTGAATAAATTTAAGAAAATAAAAAATTTAATTAAAACAACATTTACGCCAAAAACAAAATTAATTCATTAAGCAAATTCATAATTCGATCTGAAGAAAAAAAAAAAAAGTGTTAAAAAATTATAGGAGACGGAATAGACGGCGCTCTTTAACGCCGCCGTGTGAGAATGGCGACGGAAGGACAAGTTGGTAATATATGTATCCTAGAAGGGTAATTTGGGAATACAGAAGAAAACGCACGCGGAAAGTGAGGGCACAACGACCTTCTCCGGTTACGGTCGAAAAGAGACAAGATGAGTCAACGGTCAAAGTTACTGCCAGCCTGTCACCTCCTCAGCTGCCACCTTCTCCACAATCCTCTACCACCACTCTTCCCCGCAACCATAATGCTTCAGATTTATTATTCCAACAATAATTTTGTGATTTTTTAATTTCTTTTTAAATTTAATTTGTTGATTGGGTTTCAAGGATTACATTAAGGTAATGTAAGGTCTTTAAATTAAATATGTTATTTTTAATTAATCTGATCATTTTTTCCACTAAATCGTACAAATTCTTTTGAATTGTTATGTATATATACACACACACAAATTATTATTTATCTAATTAGGTAGTATATATTTTTTTTATAAAATATTATGTATTTAAGTTAAACTATATTTTTGTTCAAAAATTATTTTTTTCTATTAAATTATAAAATTTCTTTTGAATTGTATATGCATACTAATTATTATTTATCTAGTTAGGTAGTAGATTTTTTTTAATAAGATATTGTACATTTGAGTTAAACTATATTTTTATTTAAAAATTATTTTTTATTTATTAAATTATAGAATTTATTTTAACTTATATAAATTATTTAATTATTATTTATCTAAATAGTTAATATATTTTTTGATAAAATATTATACATTCGAAATAAATTATATGCTTATTTAAAAATTATTTTTTTAATTAAATTACTGAATTTTTTTTAATTGTATAAATTATTAGTACATCATTTTTTTTAGAAGATATTATTAATTTATTTAAAAAATATTTTTATTATATTTATAACATATATGCATATTATCTATATACATTTTTTTTAAAAAAAAAAAAAAAAAAACGGCAGTGATTATGGATGCTTTCTCACATCACATGCATGGTCTACTTCATTTTCATGATGACGTGTAACCAAAAGACTTTAAATCAATTCTTATTACAGGGTAATCATAAAAACACCCACTCCTGATTTTTCTCCCCTTAATTTAATTTACAAACTATGTATCTTCATTTTAAAAGATGTTGTACTTTGAAATTTTAAAAAATAAAACTGAGTATAAGTAGAATAAGTTAAAAATTATTAAAACAATAGTTACTTACGTTATATATAAGTTTTTTTTTTTTTTTTTATAATAAAACCATTATAGTTCCGCATATTGTAAATACTGACAAAAAAATTTATTAGAAATAATTAAATTTAAACGGTGATTAAGTTGTTCTAAAGCCAAATTACAAAATGTTCTTTGTTAAAATTGACTCATATTTACATCATAACAATTGTTTACTCAAGTTGAAGACCTGAATTTCAAAGTACACAATAATTTGGTAGAGTATATCAATTTACAAAACTCAAATCTCTTACATCCATTATTATTTGACATGGAGAGTTCATTATGTTCGTGAGGTTTACAATCTCATATCTACTACTCCCAGTTACCTCCAAATATTGGTTTGTTTGAATCATTATAATATTACTTTCTTGGGTTTATTATTTTCTTCTACCAAAATTTTCTTAACCCCTTAGTTCTCAATTTGAAGAGTTAAACAAATAAAATTTTGTTTGAATTCTTCATTCAGTTTAAATTTATTCTAATTATTAAAGAAACCACTCTCTCAAAGACTTTCATTAATAATTTTTCTTTTTAACTCTTAAAATAAATCTCCCATGTTATCAAGTTTTATTTTGCAGATTCCTAAGTTTTTTTTTTTTTTTTTACTCCAACAGCAACTGGACACATCCTTAATATATAAAACTTTTTAAGAGTAAAACCAAAAACTAATTGTTGGTAAAAAGAATTTAAAGTTACGAAGAAGAAGAAGAAGAAGAGATATTATGAACATGAGCCATAATGTAGAAGAGAGAAGAAAAGAAGAAATGTTAGGTCAAAAACGTTACTCACTGGTCATTTAGGCAGATAATGACAGCAGATTTCATATTCAACTGGTTCCGGTACTAGCTAGTGGCTACCCAATTGCTCCTGTCCCCAAAACAGCATTCAATGGAAATCATTAGCTTATATATTTTTTGGGGTATAATTTTTTATATAAATTTAAAAGTTTTTTTTATATAACTTTTTTGAAAATAAAATGTTAGATATGCTCATTAATTAAAACGCTAATGTAATCTCTTAAAGATGAAAACAAAAAATCCGAAATTCTACTAGTAATAAAAATTTCATTCTACTATAAAAATGGTTGGATATGATCATTCCATGCATGCACACATACAGAATACAATACCCACTACATTACGTCCATACCTGAGGCCTCTGTAGTTGTAAGTAACTCCATTTTCAGCAAGAAGAATCAATGGAGGCTGATACGGAGACGAAGGAATCTGAAGTGGTAGAAAACCAGAACAGGGCAATCGTTGAGGAGCTATACAAAGCACTATCTGAAGACAATGCAGGGATGGTGGCGAAACTGCTGGCCAGTGACCTGGAATGGTGGTTCCATGGACCGCCCAGATGCCAACACATGATGAGGATGTTGACGGGTGCGTCAAGCCGTGCTGAGTTCAGGTTCGAGCCAAGAAGCATAGAGGTGATCGGTGAGTGCGTCATTGCAGAAGGGTGGGAGGGTGCTCAGGCATACTGGGTTCATGTATGGACCTTGAAAGATGGGCTAATCACCCAGTTCAGAGAATACTTCAATACATGGCTTACTGTCACGGATTTTAGGTCACCGACATGGGAAATTCCCCACGTTACTACACTCACATTGTGGCAGAGTCAACCCCGAGATCTTGCTCGCCGCTCTCTCCCTGGACTTGTGCTTGCTATCTAGATTATATATTGAACTATTTCTCAGCCTGTTGTAACTTGCATTCAAAATAAGAAAAAACCTTGGTGCAACTTGCAGTACTCAGGATAATCAGCCTGTCTAGCTGTAAACTTTATAAATCTTGAATGAATATGTGGTGACGTGGGATTGAGGTAAACTAAATTTGTAATTGAACGAATACAGAAAGTACGGAAATAAACTCCATGATATTCTTTCATAAAGGATTCATCATCAGCAGAAAGGATAAAATACAAAGAAATAATGTTATCTACCTTTAGCTTGCATTTTCTTCTCTTTGTATTGACGATGGAAGAGGTGGGTTCATAAAATTGTTGGTAAACTCTTCCTCTACCTTTGGGAGCAGTTCATCAGGACTGTAATGAACTTTTGAAAATCTGACAAGGTTTTCGGTCCCAGGCATGGGAATCTTGGAGGGGCTGTTCCCAAGCGGAGTTGCTATACTGGCTCTGAAATGAGCTGTTCCGCCTTCACGAGGTAAAGGGGATAATGTGGAATGGCCAATTTCCTCTGTTTGCTTCTTACAAAACTTATCCTCAACAATGTCATAAAAATTAGCAGTCCGAACTTCCTGAGCAAGTGAGCACCAACAGCAGAAAAGCCATTGTGCACAATCACCAACAGCGGGATTTCCTCCACAAAGGTTATTTGGTGGCAGCTTGAATCTCTTCCTCATCTGGATCCTCCAAAAGCCACCATAAAGTAACCCAAAAACACACAGCAAAATACCAGTTAATCCCAAAGCTTCTCTAACTGTTTCATTATCTATATTGATTGCTGCCAAGTTGAATATCCAAAAGGGAGCCATGCAGAAGAGAAGAAAAGTTGCAATATGAACATACATGTTTCCAAACCCCAGCCTTTCCATGTTCCACCCAAAAATACAAAAGCTGCAGAAAACAGAAAGATAAGCCGTGGCAATGTCTTCCCAAAAGTCGAATAAACCCCCTTTCCACACTGGTGCATTCTCAACTCTCCTCTGCTCACTTGATGCAAATGACAATCTTCTCTCCAATGACTTCCTTCGGTTGCTTGAGCAGACCATACCATCAATAAGAATCTGATCCTGTGCTTCGGGATCAACTTCAGACTCATAATCCTTCCCAAGGGGACTCATAATAGAGTACACACCTGCAACTGCTGGAGCACCGATTGCAACTGAGAGGCAGATGGCAACACCTATGGCAGGACGTTCCGATCTTCTGTATCCCAAATTAAGGCCACAGAGGGCATATTGAGAAATGCAATTTACATGAAGCAACACAATAACTACCATCAAATGAGCCCATTCATGAGGCTTGTAAGTGCCATTCTTGCAGTATATCTTTCTGAGTGTCAGTATGTCCTTGGGCTTCCACCTACAAAGAAGTACAAGGTGGTGGAATCGTTTTGGGTGTTGATATAGGCACATGAGGGTAAAGAGAGCATTGAGGATTTGATTATTGACTTCAAACCATATATTCCTCTGTGACTTACTTGGTAAGACATTGTTTAACATTCCTGTCATTACAAGAAACAGGATTGCTCCAGAGACAGCAACACAGGCTATCCACAATAAAAGGGCCATATTCAAAGGATTCTTAATCCATTCTTTCCAAAGTTTCCAAAGTGAACCCCAGTCAACCTTTTGAACAATATTCACATTGAAGCGTTCTCTGAAACCTTGGCTAGTGGAAGGTACACACTGCGATATTTTCTCTTTTTCCTCTGCAATTTTCCTCAACGTAGCTGATGGGGAAAATGAACTGCCAGTAGAATTGAACTCCGATAGTCTTAATCTACTGGGAATTAAACTTAGCTTGTCCTGACTACTAACTCTGGAATTTTCACTGATTAGCAGTCCCTTTATTGAGTTGTTTAGAGTATACCCGCCATTGACCTCTGAACAATCTGTTGATTTTGATGGTAATTCTACTTGAACAACGGTTGAGTCTTCTCCATTACTAATTGAAACCATCTTGCTAAAAGATATGTATATTTCCTCAATTTCAACTTCTAGAGATTCTTCCTAACTTGATAGTTCAGAGCTGCCTCAAGAACCCAAAAAAAAAAGGAAAAAAAAAAACTTCCCTGGTGCCAAAAAGTGTTGATACTAAAGTAATCTTCTATAAGCTCGTAAAATACCAGGGACCTGAGGAAAGTGGAAACCTACCCAAAGTCAAAATAAGAAACTGAAAGAAAGGCAATTATCTACTCAATAAATTTAGAACATCATAATAATGTATTATACTTTAGATAACCCTTAGAGGTAGAGAAACAGACTCGGCGTTTCATTCAAATACAGAAAGAGAACTATATGAAAATAATGTAATTCGTGATCAAGATCCACAGATAAAGCATGGGATTAAAATCTCAGATTAAGAAGCCCAACTTTATGACAATCAGAAATTAAAAAAAAAAAAAATTGTTGGAAAAGCACACAACAAAACTAACAGCTTACATAAACAAGAAAATCACCATTTGAGTGCTTTTTAAATGCAATTTAGTACAAGAAATAAGACAAATTCCTGATAAAATTCACGACTTAAAAAGTTGAGGGAAGTCGGTACTGGAATGAGAAACGGGGACCGAAAATGTAAAACCATACCTTAGGATTTTGATCGGAGAAGAATAGCCCTCATTGTTCGCCGTCCATTGAAGGAAAAGCCTTTACAAGGTCGTACATCAACATAATTATCAACGAAGAAAAAAGAAAGTTGGTTTATTAAAAATATCAACTCCCCTCTTAAGTTTTTTGGAGTTTGAATTTAAATATTCCGAGAAGGAGAAGATTCGGAAAACAGTATTTTTGCTTAAAATCTTTGTTTTGGTCCTTCCCTGTCCCTTCCGCAGAGGAAATTCTTTTAGCAATACTTGTCTTTGGTCAAACATCGTGTAGAGAGTGGTGGAGGGAAGATTTTTCAAAATTTCACAATAAGCAGAAAACCGGTTCGAACTGAACCAGTAAAGTGGTCCGGTCCAGAATCCGAGTCTTCTCCACACGACATTGATGTTTGAGGTGATATCATTTTTGAGTTTTATGGAAATGGAAACAACGAGGAATCAAGCCTAAGCCTATGTTTGAAATAAATAAAATTTGCAGAATTTAGGTTGCATTTCTTATTTATTACGTTTCTATTTAGTTATGTTTGACTCCAATTTCTTATATTTTTTTATTTAATGAGTAAAAATTCTTTAATTTATTCTATTTTTATTTAATTTGAACTATAAATAACATGTTTCACTTTTCCAAAATAAATAAAAAATAAAAAAACAAAACACTTCTACAAAACTTTGTGTTGTTCTCACTTTTTTATAAACTTGGAAACAAAATTAATTTAAAGTTAAGAGTACCATCTTTTTTAAAATGTAAACATAAATTTCATAAAATAATAACAAATCTAGAGATTTTGATAAGTAAGTTTTTGCAGACCGATTCAACAAAAATTCCCTGGCTTCAAACACACACAATTGCATTAAATTCCCAATTTTTTCTTTATTTTGAAATTTCCAAGTCATCCACTATTACATTAAAACAACAAACTCATGTTTGAACACTTCGATTCACTCCTCCCTCCATATTCGGACTACAGAGTTTCAAGGAAAAAACAGCTGGGTAAAATTTACACGCTTCTCTCAGATGCCAAGTCAAGCAGCTTACGGAAGAAATGGTGAGGATAGATGGCTGGTTCCTCTGCTAGTGCCTGAAAAAATGTGAACACCCAGAACCACAATTTTATAGATTATCAACAACTACTACCACAATATTATCCACATCACATTTTTGAAGCACCATTAGCTCGGTAACAGTATTACTGAACCCATACTACTATTAACTTTCAACATTCAGCCCCACTTTTCTTGAGGATATGAGGTACCACAACTGAACTGAAGCTCGTTGCTTATTGCTAATGTAAGTGATTGAAATTAACATGAGGCATACTTCAAAAAAAATGTCAAGTAAAGATGATTTTTCTTCAAGACAAAACATCTGCTTATAGCTTTAACAAGAAGCAGATCAACTCAAATATAAATAAGATAGATGTCTCGATGCATCTAAATAACACTGCGAGGGTCTTAGTTTTTTCCTTTTTGAACAAAAAAAAAAACTTATAAGTTTTTCAAAGAAGTAAAACATGTAGTGATATGTTTAAATATAGTAAAATTGGTGAGCAAATGGTTAACAAACTCTGGAACAGCATTTCTTTCAGAGTTAGTGGAATAACTTTTATAGCTTATATACTTTCCAAAGTAAATCTGAATGTTTCAATTTTAAAATATTTTTTACAAACTTTTATCATTGAATTAAATAATAAAATATAAAATATTTTTAACAAAATCTAAAGCTCATACCTTTAAATTGACAAAAGAACTCATAAATTCTACAATTCATAAACTCCTTTGTTCTAAGTTTAAGCCATGCACCCTCTAAATAGTAAATCCTCTAAGTTGGGGGTCCAATTATACCTGATGAATCAAGACAGTGGATGGTGTCATTCCAGGTACAGTATTAACCTCTATAACTAAAATCTGCAAGTTATAAAATAAGCCACTCATTAGTAAAAGAGAAGGTATTTCTGTGAAATATAGGTAGATGTTTGGAACTATAATGGTACTCTTTAAGGCTTTCTTTAACAAAATGAACAACAACGTATCATTTTATTTGTAAAATTAATGAACACAGGAATTTGTTTACGAAAGAATATATTTTTTATGTCTGAAACAAATCATCATATTTTTTATATTGTGAAATTCACTGAAATCACTAAGCCCGAAACAACACAAGCATAAGTGTGAAAGACATTTCTCTAAATTCTGATATTCAGCCTCAAAATTTTAGCAAATTTGATAAAGTTAAAACGCATTTGATTATGATATTCATTTTAAAATAAATCAATGATTGGGAATAATTCCAAACTTGGAAATGTAAATCTACAACTGAATATAACTCTTTTTTGGTAAAATTCATTTTGTCCAACAGATAGTGCAACTTATTAATCCTCGAGGTTTTTACAGATCCTCAAAAATCATCTTGTTTCGAATATATTATGTCACAGAAAGAATATGGGCCCACTGAGACATCATAGCTTGGACATACCTCTCCAGTGTCAACATTAGCGAATGCATCAATCCGCGAAAATCCTTCCAGTTGCAACGTATTCGCAATTAGTTCTATATTTTGCTTGCATCTCCTCAAAGCCGCATTGCTGATTCAGAAAGGACTAATATCAATATCCACTTGATCAAGGAATATTTCTCATGAATTCTGTTTCATCATAAATAACATGCATGGAATTGTATTTTCATGTCTGAATTCTATTTTTCAGAATATTACATGAGTTTATGTGCAAATATATTAAGTCATCAATGCATGTAGACCCAATACTTGTAACCAATGCAAGCCAGGGCAACCACTGAGTATGTGCTTTTTAGGATTTACAATAATGATAGCTGATAGACACGTTAGAATATAAACTTGGGTCCTCTCTCATCAAGTTATCAACTTAAGTTTTTAGATAATCACTTTGTTTACTAATTTATTTCACATGCTACTAAACCCGGATACCAAGAGGTATGCAGGTCTTTATTTCATCTCCACTTTTAGCTAGTTTGCATAGGAAGCAAGTGCTAGAAAATAGATAATAAAGTTGGGAGCTTTACAATTGGTTACCGAACTCGATGATTTAACTAAACAAATTATTCCCTTTGCTTTTTCTTAGAAGCAGCTTGTATGCATCTATTCAATTTTACTTGTTTCAATGTCTTATGAACAGGTTGCTTGTTATTTAAGCAGGCTTTAGGGAGAAAAAGAAAGTAAACAGCGCTCCTCTACTCTTTTATGTGTCAACTTAAAAGCATTTGTACTTATTTACCTAACATACATAAATAACCAAAATAGTGCAAGTACCTTTTACTTGTAGTATTTACATTTTTCATCAAAACATTCATATATTACCATAAAGTATTTTTGTAAAATAAACATAGTCATACTTACACTTAATCACTCACTTTTCTAACTTAGTGCTTAAATAAGTTACTTAATTTACTTGAACAACATTAAACACCCACCAAATCTGCTTATAGAAAGAAGGCTTTCATTAGCTCTCCTTTCTTCAAAAAGAAAAGGCCAATCCTCATAGTTAATGTACGACAAAATGAAAAACCCTGGGTTTAAGGGCAAAGGAGGTTAATGCCACTGAGCTAAGAAACTCACACAAGCTAAATAAGTTCTCAGTCTGAACAATGGTTCATACACTAGTCACTTCCACTTGGCTTTAGGCTTTTGTATTTTGCTAAACATTACGGTTAACCCAAGTAATATCTTCTGTTAACTGCTAAAATCAACAATAACTAACCCAGAAATATAACACCAGATATATTAGCATAATAATGCATATATTCTAAGTGTCTGAATTGAGGTCATGACTTTTGCGAAGCATTGATGGCATTCGAGAATAATTTGAAGCTATACGATTACAGATCATCAAACATGGGATTGTAGAAGCTGTTAACCATAAAGAACTATTTCTATAAAGAAGTATGAATTTTTGACAAACCTCATGATTGATACTGGTGGGGGAGTCAGATTGATTCCAGTTCCACCTGTCAAATAATATCTAGGTAAATACAACAGTATTGCCATTCCAGCTGGATTGCAGGTCTTTTTCTTAATAAAAAAAATGTGCAAATGCAACAAAATCTTTGACCGTTTGAGCATTATAGACAAATGATGCAAGCTAAACAATTAGACTATACTTCCTAAGCAAAAGTACTTTTTTAATTTCATTTCCTAAATTTACTAACCACTTTTTTTTATCCAATTTTCATCTTCATTTTCAGTATCATTTCTTAAATATAAATTCAGAAAA